GCCTTATACGAAGGCTGGCATGATAACAAAATAGAAATGGCTCTTTGAAACACCCATATTAATTTCGAAAACAATATGTCTGTCACGCCTCATGATAAATTGTACGTCGCTGAAACATTCAACTGTAATATGCGAACATATATTCGTGTGCACTAGTATGCTTATGTTTCAAGAATTACGTGTATGTACGGGTATTTGACAGTTTCGTGGGTGTGGCTTATCGGCGAAGGCGTGGCCAACATTTAAACCATTTTTTGTGAGAATGATTAAAATATAATAAATTATTCAATTAAATCTCATTTATTTTGCATTATCCTTGTTTGACATAAAAATCTTTAACCTACAATCAAGTATTTTTACATATGTCATAGTACATGGATACCAACCGACATGATCTGCCGTGTCAAAATATGTTCGAAGATATGTTGAAATAGTGCAAATGATTGCAAATATTTATCAATTATTGTATTAAAAAGTGGTTAAAAGTAAATATTCATTAATTATTGTATTGAAAATTTGAAAAAAGTGATTAATGGTTCTCTAAAAAGTGATTAGATCGTTCTTCGAAACAATCGACATAGTGAAAGTTGTGTCTTTTTTGATAAATTAGTCGCGGGCCTGCTAGTGTTTATTTGGCACAGGTTTTACATTTAACTTATTAACAACTGAATTAGTGATGAATATTAATAAATAACTATGAATATAAAGTAATAATGTGTTTTATATTAGTTCGACAACGTTTTCAGCGTTGAGGTTATGTTAGTGGCGGGTCTGCCAGGTTTTATTTAGCACATTTTGTGCCAATGTGAAAATAATGAAATCAATTAGTTGTAAGTCAAACATCCAAGCTATGTATCATATATATATTAATTAATATTGATTCTAAAATTCAGTTCAAGTCGAGTTTTGATCGTCGCAACAGTTGCAAGTATTTGTTTAAAGAAAAGTTTTTACGTAGTTAAATTTTAAATAAGTAATATATAAGTAAGTTCTCTTAAAAATGAATTTCAATTATTCTCCTTCGTTAGAGA